AGGTGGCTGATGTGGACAAGCAGAACTGGCCTGAGCTACATGAAATAGCCCCAATACATTAGAGCCGAGGTATCCTCCCCTTCTGGAGGATACAGCACCCATCTGTGACACTCCCAGAGATGGCCATGAGATCCCAGAATCTTCCCTAACTAATGTATCTGCTTCCAGTTGCCCCTTGCCCGGAACACCAACGACTCTGCTCAGAGAAAAGCTGCTCTAAAGGCCAGGTATGGTGAGGGTCGCCAGGGACAGCCTAAGCACTCAGGGAAGAAGTGCACATCACATCCACAAACTATGGTATGTACACACACGACTCTCCCCACCAGGGCCAGGCAAGGCATGCAGGGAAAAAGTGCACATCACAAACTTGTATCACCTATGGTATTTACATGCATGACTCCAGACACCAGTGAGGAAGCTGGGAGCTTCCTAGCTGGGAGCACCTCCACCTGGCTTCTCAGTCAAGGATGTTTTCTCCACTCATCTATCCCAGACTTCTTCAGCTGGAAGTGTTTTCCCAAGCCCATACTGCCAGTGTGTTCCTTGTGTCTATCACCCATTACCTTCAAAGACAGTAGTCCATGGAGTCTTCTTCTGACTACCTTAGGGTGGTTTTCCCCTTCCTGAGGCCAAAGGAAAGCTTAAGGGCAGGGCTCTCTCTGGTGGTTTGGATGAAAATGGCCCCCAAAGGCTCATAAGGAGTAACACTATTAGGAGGTGTGGCCTTGTTGGAGGAAGTGTGTCACTGGGGGAGGGCTTTGAAGTCTCAGAGGCTCAAGGCAGGCCCAGTGTCTCACTGTCTCTTCCTCCTGCTTGCTGGTCTGGCTGCAGAACTCTCAGCTACCTCTCCAGCACCACATCTGCCTCTGTATCACCATGCTTCCCGCCATAACAGCAATGTACTAAGCCTCTGAACTGTAAACCAGGCCCAATTAAATGTTTCCAAGATCATAGCCATCTCTTTACAGCAATAGAAACCCTAAGATATTCCCCCTCCCCTAAATCTGCCCCTTGTTCAAGAACTGAAGCAGGACATCCAGTTTCAGTACCCAGCAGTGTACATCTGTCATTTTTAACAGAATCTCAAATGTTTGATTTTACCAATAAAGACTCAGGAGCCTGATGCTGGTGTAAAAGCCTGCTAGCTCAGAAAAGCAGAGAAAGCACCCAGCTGATCTTCCTTCTCAGCCCATGCCCCAAAGGGCAAAAGCAGCTCTCCCTCTCCATGCAGTCTGAAAAAACCCTCAAACTCAAAAAACCAAAACACAAACAAACAAACAAAACAAACCACTTCTTCTTCCCATGTGTCTATCTATCCTCCTCATTTCCTCTTACTCGCTGTGGGTTTTTTCCTGTGTTCACTCCCAATCAACTGGTTGCTTGCTCTGCCTCTTGACCTATGGCTCACTTTATTTAACCCTGCCTAGGATCAAAGGTGTGCGCTAGGGCTGAGCCACATCACAACTGAAAACAGGTTGTTCCAGTAAACAACACAATCTTGGGGGTGTGATCAAATATCCTGCAATGTCTGTCTATGCTGCCAAAGCCTTCAGAAGTATTTGTTGATAGCTTTTCAGAGTGGGCTAGCTAAGTGTGCATACATGCATACAGGCATCCGTTTCTCACTCTGTACTAGTCACACCCTCTTAGCCTCCTGAGGAGCAACCAGTATGACCCCTTAGTTGAAGTGGCCATGGATCATGTCCAGAATGACCTCTGAATCCAATGAAGCACCTACAGTGGATACCTCCACTGGAAACAGTGATGAGCATTTTCCTCCCTCACCCTATTTTATGAACTGAAGTCCCAAGGCAGGCAAAAGTGACTGGCCACCATCCAAGCCTCTAGGACGGGTGGGGGCTGAGACTGCCCTAAGAATTCAGGCTAATGGGTTTTATCTCACCTTGTATGCCTGGAGCTCAGCTCTCTGGCAATGTTTAATAATTGGGTTCCTGACCTTTCTGCTGGCATGTTTCCCCTTCGTAGGATAATAGAATGAGTCGGCAGGTCTACTCTGCTTTTAGTGCCCCCATAAGCCTGGGTCTAAAGGTAGCTTTGAATTCGCTGGTGCAGGGTTGGGCAAGGCTAACATATCCAAACAGCCATATGTAGTTATAGACTGATCCACCACACCCATTTTGAGGTGAACTCAGTAATGCTCAAATTACCCAAGTCCCTTTCCAAACAGGTCAGAAATGCTTGGCTATCGAAATACACACCTTAGGGAAGGTGAGGAGTTTTAAGAACTACAGACCACGCAGCTGATTACAGGAGCTTCTGGGAGCCTGTGTAGGAAGTGGGTGGGAGCGGGAGGATACACACATACTAAGTGTTTATGTCAAGCCATGCATGGCGCTAAAGAGCCTTCAATGAATTATCACATCACCTGGGCGAGAAGCAGCAGCGTCCTGGTTTTTACAGGCGAGACAGTTAAGGCAGATTAAGAATTAGCTGTTTGCAGAGATGAGCTTCAGTTCAGGTCCCTAACATCTACCAAGAAACCCTGAGCAAGGTAACTACTCCTAAAAGTCTATTTTCTCCTCAATAAAATAGGGGTAACAATGCCTGCCAGCTGGTTTAAATAAAAATGTACCTTGAGGGCAGGGAACCTCATTCTGTTCCCAGTTCTTGGGAGTTCCTTCACTGTGTTTATGGTAACAGTAGCCAAAACACGTCAAAAATTCAAACAGCCTGCTGCTTTTTCCAAACCTAGTGTCATGTAATGCGGATTCGCTGACATGCTTTCTGAAGTCCTGTTAAATAGAAGCATAGGCTGACTAATCTTACTATAAAGAGGTAATTGGAGCAGCACACACGAGGTCAGAAGTGGCCCAAAAGGAGGTGACCCTGAAGTTAAGTTCACAAGCATGTCAGGATTTTCACGTAAAACCAGGAAAAGTGGTCTCGGGAGACTGGGAAATAATTGAGAAATGAAATGAGCAAGTTGGGAACAGGGAAAAAATCTACATACCTCTGAAGATGTTTCAGGAGCCCAGAGGTCTTTTTGACATATTACACACAGGTACCCACACACCCACAGGTACACACACGTATTATCCCTTCCTGCATACACAGCCTTGCCTGTTACTTGAACTCACTCACCACCACACACAGCACATCTCCTTTTCTCAGTCTACTCTGAAGTCACTCAAACCCTGAAATAGAGCCATCACTTTTAAGTTTGCCCTGGCCTTCTTCCCCATGGTATTATGCTGGACGGCTCTATGTAAACTTGACACAAGCTAGTCAACTGAGAGAATGGAACCTCAATTGAGAAAATGCTTTTATAATATCAGTCTGTGGACGAGCCCATAAGGCATTTTCTTAATGGTGGTTGGTGGGGGAGGACCTGGCCCATTGTGGGTGGTGCCACCTGAGGCTGGTGGTCCCGGATTCTATAAGCAAGCGGGCTGTGCAAGCCAGGAGGGACAAACCAGCAAGCAGCAAAGCACCCCTCCATGATCTCTGCATCAGCAACTGACTCCAGGTTCTGGCCCTGCCTGAGTTCCTATCCTGGCTTCCTTTGATGATGAACAGTGATATGAATGTGTAAGCCAAATAAAAATAAACCCTTTCCTCTCCAGCTTGCTTTTGGTCATGGTGTTTCATCACAGTAATAGTAACCCTAAGAAACAAGCATAAGAAACAGTTTTAGTCACATTTGGCAAGACAGTTCAGAGCAGCATTCAGCAGTCACTTCTAACACCATGCTGATGACCTTTGCATTGTGCAAAAATTACACTCCAAAAATAACTGTGAAATTCTGCAGCCAGAGTAGTAAGAGCAGAATGAAGCCCAATGAAGATGTGGGCACAGATAATCTCCTCCACCTGGCTAGTCCCTGCCAGCCTGAAATCTTGGGTGTGCTATTTTTTGAGAGGCAGGCCTTGAAGCAAAACTCTTGAGACCAGTTCTAGCAAAATTAAGAACATGGTCCAGGACAGAACCATCTTCATCATTTAAAAAAAAAAAAAAAGCAAATTGGGGTACCCTCACAGTTCTCTTGTTTCTACTCAGGTTCCCCTCCACCCCCTTAGCTCACCTCCTAGAAAGGCTACTAAGCCAGTCCCTGTTTGCAATAAAGGAGGGCACTTCTAAAATCTTCAGCTTTTCCCTAAAGTTCTCAATCTTGTCCCTACCATGTCAAAATATTGACATTCTGGGGGCAATTTCAAAGGAACTAACAGAATGTCAAGTTATCCTGACACCATTTTTCAGCTTACCAATTGCATACATCTATTTACCACCACAGACATAACTGTAGGCTGAGCATGTGTGGAGAGTGCTTGCCTAATGTGCACAAAGGCCTAGACTGGATCCCCAGCACCACCGTAAGTACAAATAAATGCAGAAACAATGTAACAGAATCGTGTGTGTGTGTGTGTGTGTGTGTGTTTGAAAATAACACTGGTGGCTTTGCCTTCTAGGTTAGTGGTGCCCATTGCCCTAACAGGCAGAAGAGTTCAGATACAACACACTCCAAAATCCAGAAAGTGTACCCTGACCCTATGGCTATGCCCATTCTAAGGCACCACTAGCTGTTCCTGATAAACCAGCCTCCCCCAGGGGACACCAGTTATCAGAAAAGCAATACAGGAGGTAATGGGCAAAGAGAGGCAATAAAATTAGGAACACATTCTTGATTAGAAAAAGCAAATTCCTTGACCGTAAGCAAGAATAGCAGGCACCATCTGGTGTGGAAACAGAGACCCCCACTTCAAAAGCTCACACAAAGGGCTGGGCAGTTTACCCATAAGTCTGTGAGAGAAGAAACCAGGAAGACTGACAGATCTGTAACTGTCCACTCTGAATCGCCTGTACTATGTGTTCTGTGGCAAGTGTTTATTTGTGCTTTGTGTGCCAGGTTCTGGGGATGAGTCAGACCCAACACCAAACTCAAAGCCCTAACCACTGAGGTAGGAAGATAGCATTCTCCCTAGGTACCAACAGCTCCCACAACTATGATGGGCATCATGACCTGGCCCTGATTCTTCCACTGGTAGAATGGAGAGAAGATAGACTTTATTTCAAATGACCCTTGCTAAACACTTAAAAAGTGATTAATATACTAAACATAAAACTTTCAAAACAAAGGGAGGGAGAGATAAAGAAGATATTTCCTTCCTATCAAGTAGAAAGGAAAGCTAACATGAAAAACAACTAAGGAACTATATAATTAGGCTTTTCATGGGCCTAGAAACTTTCTCAGAACTGGCAAGTTAAGCCAATTCATTTCTTTTTCTTCCAAGTCCAGTAGGTCTGTTACAGTAGGTCTGTTAATTCACTATATCACAATGCTTTAACTTGCTGTAGACAAACACTCTGTCCTGGCCCCACTTCACTGGGCAAAGCCAGTTGTCCTTGAAGGACAAATCAAAATCCAACACAATGACAGATATATTTAATGCTCAGAATTTAGTCTGGTGCTTGACAGTTCCTGTAAATGGGCATCAACATTGTTCCTGAGGTCCTAACACTTGACTCGTGTGAGCATCATCCACAGGCAGCTGAGGCCATCAGAGGTCCAGGAGAAACCGCCTGACCTGGGCCAGGTACTTGGGCTGCAGATAGTCGCCCAGTTCATCCTTACTGGCCCACACATGGAGGCCCTTCTTTCCGGCCTGCATGAAGTCTCCCTTGAGCAGCAGAGCTTTGAAGAAGAAGACTTTGACCCCAAGGTCACTCTCTGTCCGAATAGCCTTGGGGAGCTTGAACTTGTAGTGGCCACAAGGTGCATTCCCGAGGAACTTGGCTTCCATGTTGTTTTCTGCAGAGAAAAGAAAGATTAGGGCACAGCTGCTTCTTCACCGAAATCACAGGAGGCTCAGAAAGGCCACTTCTAGCAGAGCTAAAGGAGATCGCAAGTATGTGTGACAGTCCTGAAAGGAGGCTCCTCCCTCCTGAGTCAAATGCTTTCTAGCCCAGGTGCCAGGTTGCTACTATGGACCTACAAGTTCACAGTGCTGTTAATATTATCTGAGAGTCACAGGAACTGGCTTCTGCATTCAGCCTCATCATCAACTGTTAAAATTTTGTAGAGCAAAGCTCATCGCCTCCAAAGCGTCTCCAGTCTCACCTTTAGGGGAGTGGGCATGAGGGAGCTTCCTGAAGTAAAGTCTTGCTATCTACCTTGGATAGCTTAGAACACTCTATGTAGCCCAGGTGGCCTCAAAATGGTGATCTCCCTGCGTCACCATCTCAAATACAGACAACAAAGTCATGCATCACCACACCCAGGTCAGATCTGACTTCTACAGAATGCAGTCAAGAGAGAGTTAATAACCCTGATCTAGCATTTCAAAGATGGAAAATGCAGAATTACTGAATGGCAGCAGGACAGTCAGCTAAACAGAAAAGCAGAGTCAGAGCCTCAGTCCTCACACCGTAACTGATACTATAGGCCCAAGACTTGACAGAAACCTCACACTTTCCTAAAAGATTTGCTCACTTTGGATGATGCTTTCATGAATACGCTGTATTTTCTGAATTATGATGTATTTTCAAATTTTCACTTAAAAAAATAAGAGTATTAGAAGAACATGTGGTATTTTACATATGAAAAGGGGCCAGCCTACCAAGCAAGACAATAAATTAGAAAAAAGGTTATGTTTGTCCATATAAAATTTAAATCTTTCAGAGAAAAAAGACACAGACACAAAATCTCCAAAAAAAGAATTACAAACTTAAGCAGAATGTGTTAATGACACCAGTGTTCCCAATGTTCCCAAAGCAACCAGCTCCTGGGAGGCACAGGCAAGAAAATCAGCAGTTTAAGGTCATCTTCAGCTATGCAGTGGCTTCGAGGCCAACCTCCACTACATGAGATCCTGTCTCGAAGAGCAAGAAAAAGACTCAGAAAAACATTTTCACACATTCAGCAAAGGAACAACAGCTTAAGGTATCAGGAAGCCCTTGGGAGTGGGGCTTGTGGCCCAAGCCTCTCATCTTCTACACTGTGGAGGCTGAGCCAAGCGGATTGCAGATCCAGGGGCAAAGTGGACCACAGAGTGAGGTCAAGGCCAACAAGCACTAATGGTGAGATCCTATCACAAAATAAGTAAAAAAGAGGACTTGGAAGATGACTCGATGGGTATAGGTGTGTGACACCAAGCCTGATGACTTGAGTAAACTCACCAGGACCCACCCTGCACAAATGGTTTTCTGACCTCGCACTCCGTGCATTCCATGTGCATGACTATATACACACACATAAATATATTTATATGCTTGAATGTACAGAAATTTTCTAAAAGAATGCAAGGAAAAAGAACTGTCAGTGAGCACAACCTCTGAGAAGAAAAAAATGTAGTTGTCATGCTGCACTTACTAGATACGGATAATCATTAAACATAGGCATGAATTGATGTTCTCAAGCTTAAACAAAGAGATATTAGCACACCAGATGAATTTACATATGACGTACATTCATATGTAAACATGAGTAGGTATCTGAGAGTGGTGAGATTACACTGATATCTTTTTAATACTTTCCTGAACTCTCCAACTTAAGTGAATAAAGCATATTATTTTAGAATAAAGCATATTCTATAGTCTGGAAAAAACAGATCAAAAGATTATCAAGTCAATATAAAAGCATTTCACTACAAATAGGAGTGAGGAATCTGAGAAGACAGTTTACAGGAAAAATACAATGAACATATGAAGAAATGGTTATTTTTAGTAGCAAAAGGGCAAACACTAATTCAAGAGAGATTATTTCTACTGATGGCACAGCTTCAAACTAAAATAAGGACTATTTCATATGCTGGTGAGGTCCAGGTAAGCAGGCACTACTGTAACAGCTCCTGAAGGTGCCTATCACCACACACCGGAAGTCAAGCAGGCATAGCTCCCAAATCCCCCTCCCAACCCCCAGTGTGCTGTATTCCTCAAGTCCTCCATATGCACACCTTTGACATGGGGATTCCACCTCTAGAAATTCCATCTTGGAGAAGTATGAAACCAGTGGGTGAAAATGTATTTTCCCTTTTCTTAAATATTGACTGTGTAAACTGTTCTTTGCTGTTCTGTTTTAAATTTGCTACTTTACTAACTTTGCAGTAAATTTATTTACCGTCAATGTCTATTTTATATGTATTTATTAAATATAAATATACCTGCTGGTATCCTTTTTATTTCCTTAAGTGTTATTCAATGGGAATATTAAAGGAAAGCACAGTGCCAAGGCAGAAGCCATTTCCACAGGCACAGAGAGGGTAGAGCTGAGCAGGCATTCATGATGCATGTTCGTGTAAGGGAACCTGAGAATGTGTACCCAAAGACGATGGCACAAACACAACTACCAATCCTGTATGACAGCCGAGAGACTGACAGAACCCAAGCCCCCACATTCCATTGCACCTTATGGCCTCTCCTGCAAGCTAAAGAAGTCCCCAGAGAGAAAAGGTCAAGGGGCATACAAACTATTGACATTTTCTAGGAGCACTTATCTTGGTGGTATAGCCAATCAAGTAGCTATGTGCTTACACTATTACCAAACCGACTAACTCCACACCTGTCCCCCTATATGCCAGGGACTGCTGAGAACTCATGAAGGGGTACAGATTCTATCCTGACCTTCAGGGAACTCAAAATCCTAGCTAGAAGGAAATACATACATAAAGCATCGTGGCGCAATGGCCTGAGGGAAAGAACACATCCCCAGCTCCAGCATAAGCAGACGTGGAATGGGCATAGTGCCCCAGTCATCACTGCACCCACTGCCAGACAGGCCTGGCAAATGGTAAACACAGAAAATGTTTGCTGCATAAACTGCTTGCACAAGCAAGGGCCTGGGGTGAGGGGCTCTCCCCCTGGAGATGGCACTCTCCCTAAAGGAACCTGCTTGCGCCAAAGCAGAGATGCAAGAAAATCCACTAACTTGGGAACACAAAGGTTCTTCTGGGTTAGAACTTGGATTATACATTAACTCACTAAGAGCTGCACAAATTGGGGCTGTGTGGGCACTTGCATATTTATGGAAAACATTTAAAAATTCTAGGAAAAGAAGTAACAAGGGAGAAACCACATGTGAGCCGCACTGGAGAGTATAAAACAAAAGAGAGGAGAAATTTTTTTTACATTTTCAGTATAGTGTTTCTCAACCATTCTAACTTTGCTCTATGGAAATGTGTAGAGACATTTCTTGGTTGTCACACTGGGGGTAAGGATGGGAGTGGGAAATGAAATACTAGTAACTTACTAGGAACCAGTGAGTAGAAGCTAAAGGTGCTAAACACCTCACAGTACACAGAAGAGTCTCTCACAAAGTTATATGGGCCTAACCAGAGTCCAGTGGGAAATGAAGGACATCACAGCCAAAGCTCTGAAAATAAAGACATGATGATTTACAACAGGCCAGATAAGACCCAAAGATGCATAGGTCAGAGTGAGGTCAAGGGTAATACTGAGGTTTCTAGTTGGGTCAATCGACAAGCTATGGTACCAAGAAGCGGTAGAGTGTTTGCCTACTGATTACAAGGCTACTGGCTCGATCTCTAGTGCTGAAAAACAAAACTTACATTTCCTGAGTCTAAGAATTCTGATTAAAGTAATGGTAGCTAAGTGGCTAAGGCAATGAACTAGAAATCCTTCTCCCAGCACAGGTATGAACTTGCTGTCTAAGGTACCTTCCCTGACAGCTGGCACAGTGTTTGCCTAACATACACAAGGCTCTGGGAGCAGTCCCCAGTTCTGCATAAGACTGGGTATTGTGGCTCAAGCATATAATCCCAACACTCAGGAGAAGGCAAGAGGATCAGAGGTTCAAGATTATCCTGGGCTACAAAAAAGGAAAAAGAGAGAGAGAGAAGAGAAAGAACAGGAGGAGGAAGAGGAGGGAAGAAAGGAAAAAGGAGAGGAGAGAAGGACTAAGAAAGATGTTTAATGCACTAAAATCTCAATATATTAAGATAAAACACCCACTTGTTCTAAAGAAAATCCTTGCCAGAATTTTTATTTGATTGTTTAGGTTTTTTGGTTGTTTTGAGACGGGGTTTTTTTCTCTGTACCCCAGGCTATCCTGGAACTTACTCTGCAGATCAGGCTGGCCTTGAACTCACAGGGATGCCCAATGCCTCTGCCTCTCTAGTGCTGATACTACAGACATATACCACCATATCCAGCCTCTAACGTAAATTTTTACTTATCAGTGTCCATTAAACACTCTCTATCCTTATGCCCAATCTTGGACGAGCTGAAATGAATCTGGAGAGATTCCAGGTAAAGAAGTTACCTGAGAGTGTGGCCAGGACTCGCTCAGCTGTCCCTCGAAGGGTCTCCCCAGGCTGCCACTCTACTTGAGGAAGCATCCAAAAATCTTGGTCTCCAAGCTTCTCTCTGACTAAGAGGACAAGGTTCCTGTCCAGCTTACGTTGCAAGGAGGTTCTGTCATTTTTTTTATCAGCTTCTACAAAAGGGATGGTCAGAAGAGAGAGAAAATAAAAATTAAAAAAAAAGATTATGATCTACCAAAACCACACATTTTGAGTTGTAGCTCCTTCCTTTAAGGACCACCACAAGCCCTGCCCGCTAAGATTTTAAAGTATAACCCTAACTCAAACCAAAAGATAAGAACTGGAACCAGAGCTGAACTTCTCTCAAGAGCAAAGTACATATGAAGCCTTTGGAAAAGAAGCTACACCTGTAAAAATCCAAACATAAGAAAAGGAATATGCTCTGAGGAAGTGTACTTCCCTTGCAAACATGCGGCTCTAGATACAGACCTCAGCAATGCATACGTACAGTTTAAAAAAAAAAAAGCTCCATTGGATTTAACACTATTACCAATCTGACCTACCCCTGCCATCTCTGTTCTTTAGTCAACATCCTTGAAACAAGGAAAATAGTACTCAACCCCTGCTTTCAGAGTGAGTTGTAATAAAAAGAGAAATTAAAGAGCAATTAATTAATTAGAAAATTAATTCCTCCTACTCTCTGATCCAGAGTTAGAAGTAAAACTGAAACAACAATCATAGCATTAACAGAAAGAGAAAGACACTTTACTCCCACTGAAAATAGCCTAAGTCCTTAAAAAAAAAAAAAAACAACAACAACAACTGTGTTAGGGACATATAAGGAATGGGGGGAGGGGGGTAAGATATTCTTTTCCTGAAAGCTGCTTTGTTACTCCAACCTACTTGTTATTAAAATGCGATGCAGGAGTGAGGCAACTGTCCTTTGAAAATCAGAATATCCACCACTCTCCTTTCCTCTCCGTTGGCCTAAGAGATCACAGACCTGTCACTCGAGCTCCAGGTTTGAACTGCAAGAATGCCTGCTCCCACATATCTTCTAAATCTTGTGCGAGCGTGATGCCCTGCTCATCTTGTTCATCGTCAAAAACGTCGGCCTTCTTCTTTGCCAGCTTCTGAGCTTCATCCAGAGCACGAACCTCATGGTCTGAGTACAGGCTTCTCTCTACCTCTATCTGGAAAATTTTAACGGAAAAAGGAGAAGAAAAGAACAAAGCTAATGAACCCTTCACAGGCTTGGAAGTGCATCCCTTAACACAGTCATTAAAATCAAAACATAATACAGATACAAAAATTTTAAAAAGGTCCACTGGACTGTAAGCATGAGTGAAATTTGAAAAATGTCAAAAGGCTGGCAGATCGAGACTATCAGGAGGAAAAGAGGGGTTGCTAGGTCTTCCCACACTCTAGGCCTACTGGTCTCTGATGAGCATCTATTCAAGGACTTTCCATTATAACATTCCTTCTTTCCAAAATATCTCTCTCCTCAGGCCATTCTCTCAGATTTCTATTCATCCTTCTGATTCCAACTTAAATACCACTTTCTCACAAAGACATTCCTGGACACATCTCATGAAAACCAAACCTATGTGGTCTGTGTAAAATTCTTCTAGTACTGGGTTTTCTTCTAGAGCACCTACCAAAGTCTGTAATTACCCATATTACTGGTTACTAACTACACCCTTAATTCCAGTTCATGAAACTCTCTGGGAACCAGAGCTATGCACCCACAATTGCATAGCTCTATCTATCACTTTGCATACTGATAATATGGAATTAGTTATGAATACCTTTAAGGTTAAAAAAAAGACTACTGGTCAAGAGAGTGAATGGGGGGGGGGGGGGAAGCACTGAACAGCTTCCATTAATATTACCAAGACAAAATCTAGGGAAATCTAAGATGTTTCATCACTATCTATGGAGACTTAGCACCCTCACAGCAACCCTACTAGGGTTTCTGCCCTATTTCCTGACTTGTCCTTCACAGAAATTGCTCCCTGAGGTAAAACAAAGCAAACTTTACCTCGTATATTTCAGGATGTGCCCACTACCTCCAAAGCTTTTTTTCCCCAACACTCATCACATTACAAAGACTTTCCTGCAGTCTGTGAGCTCCTAACTTACAATAAGTGATCCGTGCTCACCACTGGTCCCCTACTGTGCTGAATGAACAAGAAGAAAACTGTCCACAGAGTGCTCAAGCGAAAACAAAGCCATTTGAATCAAACGCGGTTGAACACCTGCTCCATACGGCAACTTCCATCTTGCAGGTGTCATAAAAATCCAGAGGTGAAATGATTTGCTTAAGGTCACACAAAGTACCGGAATCACCGTGGAATCAAGGCCCACTCAGTATTGCTGCTTCCCTCCACCGCACCACGAAGCCCGTGCCTCTTTTACCTGCTGTAGTAGACTCGCCATTTCTTCCTGCAATGGCGTGAGCGGCTTGGTGATCAGCGGTGGCCGCTGCAGACACAAGGCGCCCAACAGGCGCCATGGAGACCGGCTGCTTGAGGGCGCAGCCTCCAGGGACAGGCAGCGAGAACGCGGGCTACCTGCCCAGAGTTTGTCAAGCCGCCGCCAGACTCTAGCCACCCCTAACAGAGTACGCCCTACGGGCGCCGCCATCTTTCTGTCTTCCCACAAGGTACCGCGGCCCCCGGCGGGCCCGCAACCAACCCCACGCTCCCATGAGGCAACGCGGGCCGGCGAGGCGGCGGGTTTACCAGGTAGAACCAACCATTGCAATTGGGAGAAGTAGGTGAAATGCCAGTGTTAGACCACTAGAAAGGGGAGAGATTCCCACATAGATGCTTTATAAAACAATTAAACTTGAAGAAAATGCTTACAGGATCATTTAAGAGCAATCAAGTGATTTCCCTTCTCTGTGCTCCCCCACAGATGCTTATGGTGCTGGCTCCAGCTAGGCCGCGGACTGAAGCTGACGAGGGTCAGTATTAAGAAATGCAGGTTTTAAGAAACTCCGGATCATGGCTTCTGAGGTCCTGGGCTGGACCTGGGATGACCAGGTAAGGATTGCTCTTTCGAGCCCACGGCTACTCTTGAGCCTGCTCACCTGCCTCCCAGTCCTACGTGCCATTTGAACCTCCGAAACAACGTTAAACCCAGTCCCTCAAAGGGCTCTTCTTACTTGCAGGCTTGTGGCCTTTGCTCCAGCTCAGAATATCCACACCGGAGCTCCAAGGTTAGAAGATGCAGCTGCCAAGCAGAAAATTGAAAAGGAAGCGGCTCCAAGTCGCTTCAGGTGAGGGTTAAGTGGGGCCGGTCCCCTGGAAATCCTGTAACTTCTTTCTGCCCGTCACCCTCCAGAGTCGTGGAAAAAAAATGAATTACTGACTATGGTCGTTAGCCATCTGAGAGCTTGTGCAAATCAGTCTTTGAGCCTCTACGCTCTAAAAGTGGAGATAATGCTTAGAGGAGTTGTTGATGAAACAGAGGAATAAGCTGTGGCATAAAGTTGTTCAATTAGCAGCTGTTAGCTGAGTGTCAGATGTATATAAGTACCAGCTTTCTTTCCTTGTGAGATAGGCTTTAGGTCCTACCAGTAACTCTCTGCCTCCACACAAAATGTCTTGAGGGACTACACTAACTGCACTTCTTAGTGTTTGTCAAAAAGTCCAGCGTTAGTTTTGTGCTTAGCCCCGGGAACAGGCATCCTGCATCCCACTAGTATTAATACTTCGAATGCAGTCTGTATATACATTCACTTACCTCCACATCTACCTGTTGAGTACCATGATAAGTACTGAAAAAAAAAAAAAAAAGGTTATTTCTCCCACGGAAGTAGTTCACAGACTTGTAAGGAAGACATAAATGCAAATCTTTTAGGATAACAGAGATCAGAACTTTTTGGACATTTAAAAGAGTAAGGCTCTTCTGGGGAGGTCAGGAAAGACTGAAGTTACCATGGAGTGCAGAAGTGAACTGAATAGGAATTCAGCTGGGCAAAATCAGCTTAATCATTACAGGCAAAGGTAACAGTGTGGAAAGGCAGGCAGTCAGCGAACATGATATGAGGTACCTCTAGAGCAGCAGTTCTTAACCTGTGGGTTTCAACCCCTATTGGGGTCACCTAAGACCATCAGAAAACAAGGATATTTATGATTCATAACAGTAGCAACAAAAATAATTTTATGGTTGGGTATCACCGCAACATGAGGATCTGTATTAAAGGGTCACAGCATTAGGAAGGCCAAGAACCACTGTTCTGGAAGGAGCCCAGTGGTGAAGGACTTCCCTGTCTCCCTTTGCACACTGCAGGTAGTGAGGAACTGCTGGCAGGATTTAATCCAAGACTGTGGTAGTCCTTCACCTGGCAATCCCAGGCACTATTGGGATTGTTAGAGTTACATTCTGCTCAGAGAGGAAAGGCCCTCTCAGCAAGCAGGTAGTCAAGCATAGCCATATCCTGTCTAGCTTTAAGAAGAGTTGATGCCATTTTATTTATTCTTTTTAAGATGGTCTTGCTGTGTATCCCAGGCTAGCCTCAGATTCATAACCCTCTTGTCTTGGCCTCCTGTGTGCCTGGATTACAAGAATATACACCATCCTCAGCCTCACTCTTTAAGAGTCCTCAGCCACTGTATTGATGTCAAACCGTAGGGGTCAAGGATGGAAGCAGAGAGAAAACTTGAAAGTAGTTAGAAAGCAATAGAAATAGGTAAAAATGATGATGTCTGGGCCAGGCTGATAGTTGATCCATTTCGCTGGTATAGCCAGCAGGCCTTGGTCTTGGTGTTTTACTTTTTTTCGAGGCAAGGTCTCTTTTTTTCTAGGCTGGCCTGGAGTGTGCAACAGACCTCTTGCCTTTAGTCTTCTGAGTGCTTGGGATACAGGCATTTATCAACACCCAGCTACAGATCTGTTACTATCAAATGTGAGAAAAAGAGAGGTGTGAATGCTCAAATTTGGGCGCTAAACAACTGAAAATATGGAATTGTTATATATTAAGATGGCAGGGACTGACAGAGTTTAGGTCTGTGTGGTTAAGTTTGAGATGCCTTATACTTGCTTAAAACACCCTTCTGTAACCCTATATAATAAAAGAAAAAATTTGAGACACTTAGCATCAGAGTAGAGATGGAATTTAGACAGAGATTTGGGTAAAGGAAGAGTTAGCAAAAGAGAGAAGGTCCCCAAGGTAGGACGAAAGCCAGACAAGATTGTCTTTTTAGTGTGATGGACAGTAGGAAATTTAGCTGTATTTGGCGCTGCAGATAAGATGGGTTGACAGGCAGATAGCATGATTGCTCATTGAATTTAACAATATGGAGTTGGTTGGTAACCTTGATTACAGCCTTTCTGAGGGAGAGATCAGAAATAACTTCTCACTGGAGTGGATTGTTTTCAATGAAAATAAATATTGTCATTCCTTTAAGGAGGCTTTGCTATGAGGGAAAAGAAGAAGCTATTGGGAACTTGGGGTTTAAAATGTGGGGGGTTATTTTTTTGTTCTTATTCTTTTGATTTTATGTTTATGACATGACAATATGTTTTGCTTCTGGAAACCAGGAGAATGACAGATACTGAAGAGGGAACATTGCAAGAGCAGTGTCCTTGCAGGGCTAATACGCAGCTGGAACACCGTGACAGGAGAGTCCTCGAAGGCTGTGGGCACAGATGTTTGGTGGTTGAAGCAGGAAGAAAGTCTGATTGATTCTATTTCTCTGTAGAGGTCATCATCTGGCCCTGGGAAAACAGGAAGGGATTGAATGATTAAGGAGACAAAAGGAAGAGTAGAAAAAGCATTGGAAGAATGGGAGGGTAATTGAACTGAGGGCATTGGCAGGCATCTGGAGGGCCTGCTTGATGCTGGAAATTCATTGAAATGAAGGAGTGAGTCTTGGTAGGGACAAATTTTATCCCCCAGGGGATTTTTAGCAGTGTTTAAAAACCTCTAGTGATTATAACTTAGGAGGTGGAATCTAGTGAGTTAAAGCCAGGAATGCTACGAAGCACCCCACTGTTCACAGGACATCCTCCTACAGTAGGTCTTATCCAGAATGTCAGTCAAAAAGCCCTGGTGCAGAGATCAGTCAGCCATGCCGTGTTTGCACAGACTTAGATTGTCTGGAGATACGGATTTAGCAAGGGCTGGGAGTTTGCCAGGAGAATGTGAAGAGACAGGAAAATTGAAAGTAATATTTAGTTCAGGTGAGAGGAGTCATACGTGAAGTATGTGGAGTGATGGAGAGCTGATGGGCTTATCGGGGTGCTGGCCCTGAAGATAGCAAGGCAGACGGGGGTGCCTTGAGGCCAAGGTTAGGGTGTATGTTTGGCTGTGACCCCAAGAAGTACAAAGCCAAGGTTGGACAGAGGACAGGTGACAGTTGAAGGAGACAAGCTTTAGAAATAAAAGTGCAGAACTTTTGGAGATCCTGCTGAAATAATCAGTGGTTATTTAGAAGTAGTGCCAGAGGACACTGAGTCCCAGATACGGTTTTTCAGTTTAATTACATTTTTCAATAACTTTTGAAATTAAAATATCATGTTCCCCCTCCCATTTCCTCCTCCTAATATATATCCCTCTTTTCTCTCAAATGTACAGCCTTTTTAAAAAATTATTTTAATTGTAAATATTATAAATATACATAAATATAAATATAACCTGCTCAGTCCATATAATGTTTTTGTATGTATATAACTTCAGGGCTGACCACTTGGTATTGGATTGCCAATCAGGATGCTCTATTTCTCCCACTCTCAGCATTTGTATTTGCATTTTTAAAGACTATGCAATTAAGCTAGGCATGGTGGTACACACCTTTGATCCCAGTACAGTACAAGCAAAGGTAGGAGGATCCTTGCATTTAAGGACAGCCTGGTCTACATAGTGAGCTCCAGGCCAGCCAGAGCTGTGTACTGAGACCGAGTCTCAAAAACAAAACAAAACCATCCACAGTTAGCAAATGAACTGCCTTGCCACAACTCCCTGGTATGAAAGTGGGTAGAAAGACTAGTTCCAGAAAGCTCTGTCTCCTTTTTAGGACTTTCTTCAGATGAGGCATTTGCTCATTATACCTTCAACCTGGAGAATCTTGTTTTGTTTTGTGACTAGCTCTTGCTATATAGTCCAAAATGACCAGTAACTCTGTTATCATGGCTGGTCTTAAATTTAGGGTGACCCTCCTGGCTGGGATTATAGGCAAGCACTAACATGCCCAGCTGACACTGGGAAGTTTAAAGACCTGATCTTGGCTATGCCCTAAATTAAATGGCTCGGGTTCCCAGTTTCAAAATCTTGCTAGATAAGGAGCATTGTACCAGTTTTACTCGGACTTAGCCTTGTATTTAATAAATGCTCACTCCCAAGTCAACAGAGAGAAAAAAGAAATCAGTGGAGAAGTGATGGTCACTGAAACAGTCATATCAGCTGCAGGATGGGGACACTTTCCTTCTTAATACAGGAGCTGGTGGTCCAGCCACCCACAAAGGCTGTGCGTCATCACCAACATCAGGCCACAGGAAAGATTGCACTGTGCTGAGCTTTTGAAAATATCCCCAGAGAAACAGATGGGGCGCGGGTGCTTGAATGGAAGCGTATTTTCTAAAAGTGGTTTCAGCTAGTAGAAACATGGAGTGGGTGTGTGGGTACAAAGCCGCATCTTTGATTTAGGCGTGTAGGCATAATGAAACAGCAGGTTTACTCGCTCTGAAATGCTGAATGACAGTTGTGTGCCTGTTCAAATTTTTAAAGAACAAAGCTCAGACCCAAGACCAGTCTCTTTGGCCTGGCTTCCCTTGTCAGCCCTGTGTCTGTCTGGATTTGAGTTTTCCACCTGAAAATGAAGAATACAGCCCCAGGGAAACCCCACAACCCTACACAGTGTCAAGGCCAGTGTTGCCAACCCGGAAACACTGTGGTGCCCAAAAGGTTTGGAAAGGAATGGTGCAGAGAGCCTCCTCTAGAGGCAGAGGTTCTTAGTTTTCATTCTGGGTTCATCTGTGCTGTTTGCTTTGCTATGTGTGTGTTGGGTGGGTGGGAGACTTATTTGGGAGGCTTGAGGCCTTTATCAGTGTAAATGTTGGGAGATATCTTATGATATACCTTAAGCTATATGTGTCCCTGGTTAGCCTTGATTCATTTTTCTGCCCTGACTCCCACCTTACTTGGATCACAAGTGTGCCCCACCATAATCAACCTATTTTATTTTATTTTTAAGTATGTATATATTTCTTTTGATTTAAAGAACTAACAATTGGTAAATAAAACAAAATGTTTCTTCTGAATGCAGCATTTACCCTCCAGCTCCAGGACAGGAAAGCTCTCTGCAATGGGCAGGGATGAAATTTGAAGAGGTCCCAATTGCACACATCAAAGCAACCTACAACAAGTAAGAAAAGGGGTGCCTGGGTGAGTTCCCTATGAGCTGCTTCTGCCTCAGCCCTTCTTGGAGTAGAAGTCAGTGTCAGATGCTAGCTAGTTTCATCTTGTTTAGGAAAACCATGTTCTTCCTTTATGAAGTTTACTTAAGTTCTAAGAAAATATAAAATAGATTTAGTACATTGCGGTTTTAAGGTTTTTCTGCCTTCGCTGGGATTCCTATGCGAGAGTCAGAAGGACTGTGTTAGAAGCAATACAGTGAGAGAAGCAATGGTGAAAGAAGCAATATACAAATAAATGATTTGTAACTAGCCAGAATACAAACTTCCAGACAATGCAAGCCCTTTAGTCTTCTTACCTAAGGCATGTGCACTGCTCCTTCCCTTGTAGGGCTAAGTGTGATGGTGAATGAAAGCAACAGACTAGTGCCCTTGCCTGCTGTACATGCAGGTGTCAAGCAGATTCCCAGCTACAAAAGCACAGGACACTAGTGACAGCTTTACAGGCCAGGCCCCACTTGGAAGTGACATCTGTGTTTGGTCACAGCCCGCCTGCCACACAGTTGAGTACAGGACCAGAGACTATAACCCTGGCCTAGAGTGTGTAGCACAGAAGTGCTACAGGCCCACAATAGCATCTCCCTTCTCCTCTTGAGCTAATGCAGGCATAGCTTCTGTGCTTTCTTTTGGTTGTTGTGTGTGTGGCCTTTTCGATACACCTTGAATCAGTAAAGACAATGTAAGAAGCTCTGGGAGATGGCGGCAGAGCCATCACAAGACCAACAAACAGGTGACCCATGCCCAGCAGGTGTGCTGTACAACATGAGCACCCAGCGAGCTCTGCAGAAAATGGGGTGATGATAACCAAAGGGGAGACAGGAAACATACCTTAGGATTTCCTTAAAGTCATTCTTTATTACAGTTTACATTTTAGAGCAAATTAGAAAAGGTTTCGCTTACTTAAAATAATTTTGGTTCATAGAATAGAGTATTATAAGCATTTAAGTTATCCACTGTAATAGTACTGTCATGATAAATGGTTTGGGGATTTTTTTTTTTTTTTTTATGAGTCCCTGTGATTACCTCTGAAATGATAGGTCTTAGATTCCACTGATGAGGGTATAAGGAACAGGGTTTAGAGGTGACACTGCTTTGGATGTGATTTGGTCATTGTTGGAGCGGAGCAAGGTGACAGGTCTCTGAGCATTTATCATCTACTGTTTTATCTTAACTTCTTTATTACACTTTTACTTATTTGTTGGGCATAGAGCATAACCATATGGAGGTCAGAGAACAATTTGCACAAATTAGTTCTCTCCCTCCACCATGTGGACACACCTGTAACCATGAAGCCATCCCTCTGTTCTTCTCGTTGCTATAGTAGTAGAAGATATTTGAAACTTTCCCAGTGTTGTCTTTTTTTTTTTTTTTTAAACACTTGCCAAATTGAAACATTAGGTTTTTATAAACATTGGGTTTATAAATATCACCTCCAGTGTAAACGCCGCAGTGGAGGCTTCCGGTGATTCTCTCCTGCCCTTGGGTTACGGTACTCCCTCTAAGAGTATGACCTGTCAGTCTCCTCTTCGCACAGGGGAATGAGCAAGTGGCCTTCTTTTCTTTCTCACTGTGGCTCCTAAGGACTTTAGCGAGCTCTCTCTCTCTTCGGTGAGCAGTAGTAGAACTATGTGCCTTCTTTTTCCAGCACACACATCCAGGTAGTCTCTGCCGCTAACACATCCCTGGTCCGTACCTCCTGTGGCACAGAAGGCTTTCGAAATGCCAAGAAGGGCACCGGCATCGCAGCACAGACAGCAGGCATAGCTGCAGCAGCAGTAAGTACCTGGCCACGTTGTTCTGCTTTTCCTGTGGCTGACGGGAGCTCTCATTAAACCAGATTCAGGAGCAGTGAGGTCTTTGCCTACCTCTGTATGATGCCCTGTCACTGCAGGTGCTTGAAGAGGTCTTTGGAGAAAGGTTACCAACTTTCTCTCTCAACTTCAGTGGAGCAAAAGTTTTCACAGGAAGAGCCAGAGTGCTGAAGGCTTAGGAACGAAAGCTCCTTCGATTAAAGGCCAGTGGGATGTCATGAGGGTTGTATTCTATTCAAGGAGCATGTCTTATAGCTCAGGTCCCAAAATGAAGTGTTGCAGGGCTTTGTAGAAGCAAATAAAGCAACTACATTTCAGATATTTCATTATTAACATGTCTTCAGAAGACCCTGCTATCACCTACTCTGTCAAGACAATCAGATTGTGAGGGATCAGTCAGAGTGGAGCAGCCAGTTCAGCTCCCAGATCGACCTTGGGCCAGAGGTGCATCTTTCCTGCTGTAGCATAGTCCTCACAAATGTGAATACTCTTAGCAATAGTAATACTTCTTGAAGGAACACCTTGACCGTTAAAGCTAGACCTGAGAAAATTATTCATTGCTATGAATAATGGTCAAAAAAAAACTCAGAGTGATGTAATTGCCCATCAGACAGAGGACCCTCCGTTAAGAGATACATGTCAGTGTTTGTGGGGTGTCTGCATGATAGGCTTAGTATTTTCCAGGACCCATAGTGAATGTGTTCAAAACCTCGACACATACTTAACTCTACAGATACTAAACCCTACTTTTATAGGCACTTAGGCTCAGCCTAGGAAGTCTACATTTGGAGGAAAATAGGTAATATCTAGAAGTGTCCATTAGGTGGCAGTGCAGTTGTGTCATCTTAGTTCCTTGGCTCTGTCCTCCAGCCTCTACTGGTGTCCATCTCCACTAGGGCATCAGTCCTTGGCTTCTTTCTGTGTCTTCTGCCTCCCTGTGTACCTGTTGTTGCCATTATCTGTGACTTCTGGAGACAATAGCCAGAGATTGGGGTGCAGCCATTTGTCTCAGGAGCACTGACCACTTGCTTCTCTCCAGAAAGCCACAGGAAAGGGAGTGACCCACATCAGAGTTGTAGTGAAAGGCATGGGACCAGGACGCTGGGTAAGTAACTAGGGTTCTTCACAGTGTGTGTGCATGTTCTTTAGAGCCAGGTATGGATAGAGTAGAAATGTCCCTCAGTGAATTTCTATGACATTGTTTGAAGTTCCTTTCTGCTATGCCTATGAGCTACTAAGCCCCTCAGAGCAAGTTTAGATCATGTAGTTTAATTTATCAGCTTCTTGAGTGCCGGCCCTGAGCCAGCCCCTGGGAATGGAAAAGTGGTCTCTGGGGGACCATGACAGCTCCTCACAGACTAGTGGATGCAATGGAGAAGTGTGGGCCAAAGTGCTAGGGGTCTTGAGGGGAATCCTGAAACCATTGGGGCTATGGCTTCCTCCAAGGGGGTGACATCTCTCTGACTTCATAGAAATGAGGTGTTGGGGTATGAGAGAGAGTGTGTGTGAGAGAGAGAGAGAGAGAGAGACTGTGTGTGTCCCAGAAGAGGAAAATGTTCCTGTAAAGCTGCGGGAGTGCAGGGTTCGAGCCTGTTTTCAGATTTAAAGCACAAGCTGGAAGCAGCAAGGGCCAAAATTGTAGACATCAACCCGTGAGCCTCTGTCCCTCTTGGAGCCCTATCTGGAGAAGCTACATCATCATTTTGGAGATCATGCCATTTTCCTGTTTCTGATCCTTCCAGTCTGCCATCAAAGGACTGACCATGGGGGGTCTGGAAGTGATCTCAATCACAGACAACACCCCTGTTCCACACAACGGTTGCCGACCACGGAAGGTACGAAGGGTGTGATGAGAAGCAACTCTGCACTTGAACCTGACCTAAAGTCACGCCAGGTGAATCCTACAGAAAGCTTGCAGCTGCTGGAGCTGGCTGCTCTCACACTTGGGGGAGCATTCCTCTCCTTTCCCTTGAAGCTGAAGGTGCTGTCAAGGCTGGCCTCTCTCTTGGACATGAAGGAGTGGGAACTACAGGCACGCAGTGGCTCCAGCCTCTGCTCTGAAAATAAAAGGCTATTCTCTGTACTAGGTGTGAGTTTTTGTTCCCAGTGTTACCAACATCTCAAAGATCATGAGTATAGGTGTGACCCTGAGTAGAAGAGCTACAGTGTAAAGTGGGCTGCAATCCATGGTACTCTTCTTTTTGCATGCCTTTGTAGCCTCTCGAGCAAGGCAGCCAGATCTTGTCACAGCCAACAACTGAGCGAGCCCAAGTGAGGTGAGAGCCTTTTGCCATCCTCTGTAGTCTGGCAAGAGTTCACAGGTTGTGGTCATGTTTGAAGTTAACCCTAGCAGTACCAAGGAGGTGGGGAGAGATGCTCTGAAGATCAGATTTCCTGGGAGTGTCCATCCTTTATCTCCATGGACTTTGGCAATCCTCAACCCCAAGAGAAGTATCTCAAAAGCAGGGTGGTAGAGTGGTATAAAACGGGATTTGGCAGAAAGAACGGAAAGGCGACCCGTTCTTCATGGCTGAGAACTGTGCTGGCTGTAGAACCTAGATGATGCAGACAGATGGGCATGGCTCAGAAGCCCTAGGCTGCCTCTCAACCCTTCATACACCACAGCAGGAGGTTGAGGCTCTAGAAACAGTAGCACACCTCTTCTCCAGGCTCTCAGCTGAGAGACAGACAGTATCACAGAAACTTAAAAGGAAATGCCCACAGCACAGTTCTCCCAGACATGGCTGCAGACCAGCTGGTGAAGCCCTGAGTGGAGTGGAATGAGGCCCACAGCTGCCCTCAGGTAGGTAGGAGAGGCTATGTTGGAGGCAGAGGAAGCACAAGACTACCAACTCAGAGGAAATGAAAGGAAAATAACTGCCTTTTAAGCCTTAGCAGTTCCTGTGGGGAATATCCTGAGACCAGTGACTAAAGCCCCTGGAGGGCCTTATGTTAAAGCCACTGCTGGAAGGAGCACGAGCATTTTATATAAAACTGTCCAAACAAAGCATTAGAAAGGATTTTGGCACACATGTGCATGTTGATTAAGAGAAGGTGTGAAAACTGGCAGTTTATTGATGACAATAAAAGTTTCAAATAAAATAGTCTTGAGAAATGAGGCTTTGAAACCATTCTTTGTGGTTTGCTACGGTTTGGCCTTTATTCAAGTGGAGAAAGGGCCTGAAGCAACTGTTGTGGCTCAAGCAGAAAGGATTAGTCAGGGTCAAGAGAAGAAAGGCAGAGAGGGTACTAAGTACTCAAGACTAGAGTGAACCAGGTGCAGCTGCCACCCTAGGCCTGAGGTCAAGTCAAAGACTTAGAACCTGACGGGATCTGAGCCATGGAGTGGCCACATCCCAAAGTCATGGCCTGGATGGAAAAGATGAAGTTCCCTAACAGCTTCACTGCCTGGGCTCTTGGCTGAACCCAACAGATAGCTAAAAGGCAGTAGTGTACTCTTCGATAACTCAGAATGGGTCTGGAGGGGCCTATGGTGAAAAGCAAACAAGGGAAATTCACCATGTGCCACTGCTTCAGAAAGTGCCTTGTCTGGGTTGGGAGCATGTGTCTGTAACCTCAGCCAGCACAAGGAGGGGAAGAAGCCAGCATGTGCGGCCTGAGACAAGAACACAGAAGTGTTAAGTGTTCTTGTCAAAGGGGGCTTGAAGATCAGGCCCACAGTGCAGAAATGCATGCCTGGCACTTACCTAGCCTCAGGAGCCAAATGTTTGTGGACCATTTTTTCCAGAGCTTTACAAGGAAATGAACAGGCTTTATGGTGGCAAACAATCATGTACAGTTTTTACCAGTCTGAGTAGCCAACATCTTTTCTCTGTATCATCTCAGTCCTTTGGACTTGGCTTCTCAAAGGCTGGTGTCTACCCCTTGTAGAAACTAAGGCTTCCTCCCTGAAGGCTGGCCGATCCCTGCAACTTCTGCTTCCTTGGATACTGGGCTATTGCTATGGGCCCTACTCAGCATCGGTCCTTGTCCAAAGGAACAGTGGGCTGTGGAACTTAACACGGAGAAGAAGTGAAAGTTGTGTTGACCTTTTCCTACCAGCAGGCCTTGGATAGCTTCAAGGATGGCATGTGTATAGCATGTACAGTTTTACTCCTACAGCCAGGGCCTTGAACAGCTTTCCTGTACACACAAAAAGAATGCAATCTCTGCAGAGTCGGTGCCTTCATTTCTCTCAGCCAAGGCTATCACCTGACACTGCGATACAGTCGCTGCCGAGGGAAGCCTGTTTAAGGTGTATCCCCGGATTCTAGCAGGATGTCACTCTGGCTTTCCAGAAACCATATCCTAATTGTATCTGCTCACAACCTGACTCTAACATGCTCACATAAAACAGAGAAAATTATAAAATGTATACCTCTCTCTCTCCCTCCTTTTTCTATTCTTTGTTTTGGTTTTTTGAGACAGGATCTCACTAAGTCCAGGCTGGCTTTGAACGTGCTGTGTACCTGAGGATGGCACTGAACTCCTGATCCTGTTGTCTTAGAAGCATCCCAAGGGCTGGTTATTGGTGTTCTAGTTTGCTTTCTGTTGCTATCATAAACACCATGACCAAAAACTACATGGGGAGAAAATGATTTATTTTATTTTACAGGTTACGGTCTATCAGTAAGGGAGGGCAGGGCAGGAACTCAAGCTGAGCAGAAACCTAAAGCAAGGATGCTGCTTACTGGCTTTCTCCCAGGTTCATGTTCAGTTAGTTACCTTCGTTACACAGCCCAAGTCCCCTGTCTACAGATACTACTTTCCACGGTGTCCAGGCCCTTTTATGTCAATTAGTGGTCAAGAAAATGCCCCTGCAGACATGCCGACAGGCCAATTTAATAGAAATTTCTCATTTGAGGTTTCCTCTTCCCAAGAGTGTCAAGTTAATAACTAAGATTAACCATCACAAGTGGACACCCCAATTTCCTCTTACCAAAAGCAAAAACTGTCCACTCTCCCAAAGAGTGGAGATAGTCTCTTCTACAAATACAGCGGCTAGGTGTAGGGAGCACAGAGGTCTGACATGGAACCTGCTCTCTTGGGGATAAGTCTGAGGAGGTTAAACAGGTATGTAGCTTAATTAACAAGATATTATTTAGAGGAGGCATAAATGACAGCAGAGTGATGCCTTTAAGAGGATAAAAGAAAAAAATTTATGGAAGAAATGGCACTGGAGACAGGGTCAAGTGGGTTAGTTCATGTCATTTGGAAATTGATTCACACCAAGGCAGGGGTGAAAGGTCACCAGTTCAGTGTTACAACTTCATTGTCATGGAGGGTCATGGGATTTAGACTGGAGAGGGAGGCATGAAGATCAAGGCTTGCTGAGGGATCAGAGGAAAAGCCTGAGGTGATAAAACCTTATAGCCACAACAGGGATAAATACAAGTTCAACTGATGTCGTGGAGAAAGGGTGTATATCTAGAAGGCTGTGGCCAGGAAAGAACTTGAGTGTCCAATCTTAGAGACAGCTCATTTGCAGGAGGTAAACTCTCACTACATATTGCCTTAGTTACTTTTCTATTTCTGTGACAAAATACCATGACGAAGGCAACTTATAAATGAAAGTGTTTAATTGGGCTTACAGTTTCAGGGAGTTAGAGTCTATGATGGTGGAACAAAGGCATAGCTGCAAGAAGAGCTGATAGCACACATCTTACTATGACACAGTGGGCAGAGAGCACAGTGGGAAGCCTCAAAGCCCACTCCCATCACACTCCTCCAACAAAGCTACACTTCCTGATTCCTCCCCAAACATATGAGCTTATGGGGGCCTTTCTTATTCAAGTTATCATACATGGTGTCTAAAATAGAGTTGAACTAAAAGTCACTGTGGTTTAAATAAAACAATCAATGAGATGTGAACCAAGAAACTATGGCTTTAGATTTAAGTAGAGAAAGAACTGGAGCAAAGAGCAAGATATGCACACAGCATATCCTGGACGAATCCAGGAGTGGATCCACTCAATGAGAACTCAATTCTGGTTCTTGTCCATTTCTTAACCCTGAAGACTTCCTTGTCCAATACTGCCATTTGTTTGAGAGGATCAGTCTGGTTCCTGCAAGATGGTTCCTTTGTCCTAGGGTCTAGCCTTTCCCTGTTGGATAATTGCCCTTCTGTGGGGTGTAGGATCTGTACTGTGAGGTTATTCCTGGGATCCTTGTGAGCCTGAGGGAAAGGTCAATGTTTTCTAGCAAACACACTTTTTACATGCCTGTTTCCAAGGTGGAAATGAGATCACCCAGGCAAAAGTACAGAACTTGGAAAGAAGATGGTCCAGTCTAGAAACACTGTAGGAGAGCCAGAAATAGAGCAGGAATAGAGTGATGAGAGACAGGAGAGCAGCCTCAACTCTCAGGGGCCACAGGGACCCAGGACATCATGAGCTCTTGCAGCATAGAAGATCATGATATTCCAAAGGAAGAGGGTAGGGAACATCAAGAAAGGAGAAACTGGAGATCTGAGCTAGATGCTGAGCCTGGTGAAATTGCTGTGAGGGGCCAGCATTATGCCTCTGACAAGGTTTGGATACACAGAGAGGATACAATGCTCAGAGGTAAAAAGCAGACCAGGCTTCCAGAGCAGACAGTCATGTGAGGCTCTCGGGGCAGGTGTGCCCATTGTAAGCCAGGAACAGCCACTCTGATGGGAGCAGTGTGGACAAATCAGAAGCAAAATGTCCTTGGAAGCAGTACACAGGAACCGTTCCTTGTTCTTTCTAAGATGTCCTATGATTGTCCTGAAACAAAAAGAAGGCTCCTTCTCCCCCGGCTCTTACTGAGGAACGCTAATAGCTAGAGCTGCTTCAGAGGGAGAACCGGCTGTGTCTGGCGCTGTATCGTGCGCGAGGACTTTGGCTTCATAATTGCTTGTAGGAACACGCCATGCAGTAGGCAGCTCTATCCCCTAAAAGTCTGCCAGATGGCAACACTCCGTAGCTGCTTTGCCAGCACAAAAGCAGATAGCCCCACCTGGTTCTTAAATATGGCTCATGCAGTTACAAGACTAAATTTTTAAGTTTCGTTAACCTGAACTATACATTTTGATAGCTATAGGCAGCTGGTGCTGCTGGCTTG